AGAGAGAGAGAGAGAGAGAGAGAGAGAGAGAGAGAGAGAGAGAGATCTGCACCTCTATAACTGTCTGGTTTGGCTCTGCAACCAAACAAGACAGACTTCAGAGGCTAATTAGAACTGCAGAAAAAACAATGGCTACCAACCTGCCTTCCGCTGTGGACCTTGTACACGGCCCGAGTCAAAAAGAAAGCTATGAAAATATCTACAGACCCCTTACATCCTGGACATAAATTGCTTCCACTTCTACCCTCAAAACGAAGCCATAGGGCACTAAACACTAGAACAGAAGGGCGGGCACATGTGTGGAAGGGGTCCATGCCCCCCAAACCGGTGGTAGCAAAATATGAAACCCATTGCCGTGTCTAGAAGATTGTGTTTGTTTGTTTTTAAAAAAAGAAGGCAACATCGCTGTGGCAAGAAGCAGTGCTTAAAGATCCATTTATATCCTGCTGGAAATGTTTGCATTCTTAGAGCTTTATTTTCTCCTTCGCACAACGAGTTATCTGAGAAGTATAATCCTTTGTGTCATATACATAGTACAGCATTAAAATAATCTAAAACAAATTATTTTAATTGTGTTTGCACTAATTAAAATATTGACAAATTAGGGAAGATGGAGCAAGTGGGTGCTCCATTGGGAGAGTCTGTCTATCTTCCATGTTTTTGGTTGATGCCTATTAATTATCTTCGGGCAACTGTTTGCTTAGATCAGCTTTCCAATGTAATAGGGCAGGGATTTAACATCTAGCCCTGAATATCAGTTTAGATGCATTTTCTTAAATATAAATGCATTTTCTTTTTTTTTTTTCAAGGTCCACGAATTCCAATGGTAACTGTCCACAGAACATCCGATACAGAAAGTAAGTACTTGCAAGGGAGGGCTTTTGATATTGGGAGATCTTCGAAAGGAAAGACAGCAGGCCCAGCAGAGATCAAAAGACAGAGTTCCAATGAGTAAAAAGCTAACTAATATTTGGGGATGTTACTGTATTTTTCGGAGTATAAGACGCACCAGAGTATAAGACGCACCAAGGTTTTGAAGAGGCAAATTTTAAAAAAAGTTTTTGTACTCTGCAAACCTCCCCAAAACGGCCCATTTTTCACGAAAATGGGCCTGGGTTTTTTCCCCAAAAAAGGGCATGAATAGCCCTTAGGAGGCAATTAGAGTGTTCCTCCAAGGGGGGGGGGGTGGCGGGAATGAGCAAAAAACAGCCAATTGTTCTCAAAAACAAGCCTTTTTTGTTTAAAAAAATGGCATGGGTAGCCTTTAGGAAGCCTATAGAATGCGTCTGGGGGTTGGGGGGGGGCAAAATTGAGCAAAAAGGAGCTCTCTGAAAGCCTCCTAAAGGCAATGCATGGCCATTTTGGTGAAGGAGGCGGGGTTTCGGGAGGCAAAAAATGCTATATTCAGTGTATGAGACGCACCCAGATTATTCAGCCTCTTTTTTTCTTATACTCCGAAAAATACGGTAGTTTTATTGTGTAAGATAAACTTAGAGAAATTGGGGGAATAGAATCATGCAGTAGGTCTTTCCACTAGGTAAAGAAACAACGCAGTGTATCTGATGTCATGTTTAATGGTTGCAAACCAGCAACCTAGATGCATGTAAGACTATGAAAATGGAATAGGTCCATGCTACCTGAGGAACCATCTCATCCAGTGGTGGGATTCAAATAATTTAACAACAGGTTCTGTGGGCATGGTGAGGTGGGCGTGGCTGGGTGGCCATGTGACTGGGTGGGCATGGCCATCTCAATGTCAATCACATCAAGGGTGCCTCACCTGGCTCCTCCCCTCCCAGCCATTCCTTGTCACACCCAGCCGCAACGTATCTAGTGTTCTGCAAAAAGGTTGTTCACCTTTTTTCGACTTTATTATTTACATAATAGATAATGCACCAGATTTGGGGGGTGGGGCAGTGGGGAGTTCCGATAGTCAGTACTGCCAGTTTGATGCTTGATGCAAGCTGTGCATGCATGCGCAGTGCAATAAAATTGCTATGCGCAGAAGAAAAAAATCAAGATTTGATTTTATGGCGTTACCCAGAGAACCGGTTTGGGGACGTGGCAGGCCTGGGTCACTGCCGGTTCCAGCAATCTGGGTCACCAAACCACTACCAGTTCGGCCAAATTGGGCCGAACCTGTAGGAACCCACCACTGGGATGGGGAGAATATGTAGACTAAAGAAAATAAAGTGTATGTTAGGTTGAAGGGACAGGGTGGCTCAGTGGCTAAGACGCTGACCTTGTCGATCAGAAAGGTCGGCAGTTTGGCGGTTCTAATCCCCAGCGCCATGTAATGGAGTGAGCTCCCGTTACTTGTCCCAGCTTCTGCCAACCTTGCAGTTCAAAAGAACATAAAAATGCAAGTAGAAAAATAGGAACCACTTTGGTGGGAAGGTAACAGCGTTCCGTGCTCCTTCTGCGTTTAGTCATGCTGGCCACATGACCATGGAGATGACTTCAGACAGGGCTGGCTCTTCAGCTTTGAAACATAGATGAGCACCGTCCCCTAGAGTCGGGAACGACTAGCACATATGTGTGAGGGAAACCTTTACCTTACGTTGGGTTGGGTTTTACACCCCCCCCCCCCCAAATGTCTAATTTTGCAGTGTGGATTGAAAGCAAGTAGATGTTCAAAACAAGAACTACACTGGAGACCACAATAAAAGAAGATCCATTGGCCTGACTCAGTTCATAAAATAAATAAATGCCAAAATCAATAAACGCACAGGGGGCAAGCAGGAAATGCTGTAGAGCAGATAGAGGAACTAAGGGCAGAGAAGGGCAAAGAAGCCACTTTGGGGGAGATTGCAGAGAGTGAATAAAAGGTTATTGGTAGATAGATAGAAAGCCATTCTCCCTGTGGTCTCTTGTGCATGTGATTAAGGACGCCGATGGTTTTATTATGCAGGCCCCTCTTGCTGTAATGAATAGAAGGAACTATTGTAAGCACCCCTTATTCACAAAACAGTTCTATTCCATAATATGAGAGCCTTCTACAATAATCTGATAACTGTAAATCCCACCCAATATTACCATCTGCTTATATTTAATTAAGGACTGGTTGTCTGAACAGCGCAGGCAAGAATTCCCAGCGGGTGGGAGGTTCTGGGAGATGCATTCAGAAATCTCTAAATCTGTCAGCCTGCTCTTATTTCGTCTGTCCTTTTCTGCGAATGCAATTATGAGAGCAAACAGGACGGCTGCTCTCGGGTCCCAGACGGGCCAGCCTCCTTTTGCTGATAAGGCTAATTGGGCAAGCGATAATTAAATGAGGATTCCAACATGCAGTCAGACTTAATTGTCTGATGCTTTGGCATTTTTTTGCTGGAGTTATGATTTCAACAAAAATGAGAGGGAGATTTTCCAGGAAGAACTTTTTAACATGGAACCATTACATCTCCTTCTCTGGCGACACCAGGGGTGGGTTTCAACCGGTTTGCGGCGGTCCCCGCGAACCGGTTGGTCAGCGAACCCGGAAGTTACTTACTTCCGGGAACGGCAAAGGGCCCACCCGCCCGCCCGCGCTCCTTACCGGTCTTTGAAGGCTTCTGTGCTTCCACGCAGGTGCATGGCACATACAGCGCCTGCGCGATTCTCCGCAAGCAGCTGGATGGCACATACAGCACCTGCGCGAGTCTCCGCGAGCAGCTGGAGCATTGCGCAGGCACTAAGACACATGTGTGAACTGTGCACGTGTACGAGGACGCCACTGGCCCTGTTCCAACCGAACTGGTTGGAACAGGATTAGCAACCCACCCCTAGGCAACACTGTACTTCTAACCAGAGCATAGAAAGCATTTGCTAGACCAATTCTCGAAAACAGCTCATCTGTCTGGAACCCACACTGCATATTGGACATTAATACAATTGAGCGAGTCCAGAGGTATTTCACGAGAAGAGTCCTCCGCTCCTCTGCTCACCAGGCTTGAAATTTTGAACTTAGACAACTTAGAACTACACAACCTTCAGTCTGACCTAAGCATAGTACATAAAATTATCTGCTACAAAGTCCTACCTGTCAGTGACTACTTCAGCTTCAACCACAACAATACACGAGCGCATAATAGATAGAAATTCAAGGTAAACCGCTCCAAACTCGATTGTAGAAAATATGATTTCAGCAACAGAGTGGTCAATGCCTGGAATGTGTTACCTGATTCAGTGGTTTCTTCCCCAAACCCCCAAAACTTTAACTTTAGACTGTCTACTGTCAATCTCACCTCATTCCTAAAAGGTCTGTAAGGGGTATGCATAAGCGCACCAACGTGCCTACCGTCCCTGTCCTAATAACCCCATTTGGCACTGTGGCAGCATACTGGTTGCAGCAGGATCCGGAACCCATCACTGGACTGCACCCACCCACACTGACAGGCAAGACACCAGGATATAAACTGACAGCAAACATCACTCCTTGCTAGCACTGATGATGTTATCTAATTTGGGGTAATGAAATCTCTGCAAGAAAGCGTCAGCTCAGAGAGCACCAAGGAACCCACTCAGGGGTGGGATTCTACCAGTTCAGACAAGTTCAGGTGAATCGGTAGCTCCGATGATCAGCTGACAGTGAACCGGTTCGCTCTGACGATCAGTTGGGCCTGCCCATCCGCCCCTGTGCTATACTGACCTACGTCTTCTCAGCTGCTTTGTGCGGCAGAGTGTTTTGCTGCGCCTCATCTGTGATACTCCCCAGCAGTAACGCAGAAGATAAGTATTCTTAACACCGCACCCGCAAAGCACTCAATCACCAAACCAGTTGTTAAACTGGCAGGATCCCACCACTGACCCTTCTCTATTAGTTCTCAAAAGTGCCCTCCAGTATGAAGAAAGGTATATAGAGCAGTGGTGAAATTCAATTTGATACTACCGGTTCTGTGGGTGTGGCATGCTGGACGTGGCAGGGGAAGGATACTGCAAAATCCCCATTCCTGGGGGAAGGATACTACAAAATCCCCATTCCTGGGGGGAGGATACTGCAAAATCCCTATTTCCTCCCCTTTCCTGGGGGAAGGATACTGCAAAATCCCCATTCCCTCACCATTCCTGGGGGAAGGATACTGCAAAATCCCCATTCCCTCACCATTCCTGGGGGAAGGATACTGCAAAATCCCCATTCCCTCCCGATTCTTGGGGGAAGAATCTCTATTCCCTCCCCTTTCCTGGGGGAAGGATACTGCAAAATCCCTATTCCCTCTCTACTTTGGGGCCAGCCAGAGGTGATATTTGCTAGTTCTCCAAACTACTCAAAATTTCCGCTACGGTTCTCCCGAACCTGCTGAATTTCACCCCTGGTATAGAGTCCTTGGTGCTCTCTGAGCTTGGTTGTTTGCTTGCAGATGTTTCATTACCGAACTAGGTAACATTAGTGGTACAAGTACAGGCAGCAAACCTCACACTCTTTCATGCTGATTTTGTTACCTAGTTCAGTAATTAATCAGTGAGCAGGAACTCAAATTTATTACACTTTTCCAGAGGGGAGCCCTGATATCCCGAGCCAAGGAATATCCAAGGAAGCAGATCAGTTTTTCACTGTCATCCTAAAGGCCTGCAGGACTCAGGCCAATTATATGTCTTGGGTAGATCATTCCAGGAAACAGGTACCTGAAAAGGCATGACTCCCAGGTCCCATAGGATTACTGCATAGGTAGTCCTTGTTTTCCAACCCTTTGTTTTGTGCCCATTTAAAGTTACAGCAATACTGAAAAAAGTAACCAATGACTGGTTTCCAAACTTAGGACCCTTGCAGCATCTCCATGGCCACGTGATCAAAATTCAGGCACTTCACCAGAATCATGTGATCCCCATTGGCAACCTTCCAACCGGCTTCCATCAAGGAAACTCAACGGGGGGGGGGGGGGGTCAAATTTGCTTAACAAAAGCACAATCCACTTAAAAACTGCAGTGATTCACTTTAAAAAAAAAAAAGCTTGCCAAATGGGGTGCAACTCGATTAACTGCTGTTTTGACAAGCCATGGAAACTTTGGGCTCAAGAAGTTCCCTAAGAAGGTTGCAAAGGACAGTCCAAGGACCCTGGGACACTGCAAGCATTATAAATACCCACCAGTTGCCAAGCAGCCAAAGTTTGATCACCTGACTACGCAGATGCTGAAATGGTCGTAAGTGTGAAAACTGGTCATAAATCACTTATTTTTTTCAGTGGTGTTGTAATTTTGAACGATGGCAAAATGAATGGTTGTAAGTCAACCATCTGCTGCTCTCTACATAGCAGCTTCTCACTGCCCTCTTTGATATCCAAGAGACTACAGTTGGACAAGGGTATCAGTGGTGGGAATGGCCAGTGCCATGAGCAAGGCATCTCCAACATCTGCCTGGTATGGATCCTGCTGCTGTGACCAGTCAAAGTAATGCATTGAAAGAGTGTCCCTTGTGCTAAACTCTCCAAAACAGGTGACTAAATCCTAAGAAATGAACCTCCCTCCTGTTGTCCTGTTGTAATGGAATAAAACAATTTCCAAAGTAGTAGAAACTGCCCTTTTCAAAACTGACTCTAACTTCAAATCTTCCATAATGGAAATTCTGGTCTTTCTTTCTTTCTTTCTTTCTTTCTTTCTTCCTTCCTTCCTTCCTTCCTTCCTTCCTTCCTTCCTTCCTTATTTATTTTTCTTTCCTTCCTTCTTTTGCTCACTCCTTCCTTCTTTCCTTCCTTCCTTCCCTCCTTCTTTCTTATTTATTTATTTTCCTTCCTTACCTCCCTCCTTCATTCTTTCCTTCCTACATTCTTTTCCTCTTTCTTTCTTATTTATTTTTCATCCTTTCCTTCCTTTCTTCCCTCTTTCTTATTTATTTTTCTTTCCTTTCTTCCTTCTTTCCTTCTCTCCTTTCTTTTTTATTTTTCTTTCCTTCCTTCCTTTTCTCCCTCCCTCTTTTTTCTTTCTTTTCTTCCTTCCTTCCTTCTTTCTTTCATAGAAATAGTGGCTCTTTCAGTCAGGGTATAATTAGTTAATTCCTCATCTGATAGGAGACTCTTTCCTATTCCTTCTTGCAGAACTGTTTGACCTTGAAGTAAATGCCAGAGTGCAGAAGACAGTCGCAGAACGACAGATGCCCAAGCGGGAATATCTTGATATCAAGATTCAGGATTACAGTAAGTTATTCTGATTATTTCCATTGTTGAATTTAAGGGCATATAACGTCTTTAATTTAGAAAAACTCATATTCTAGTGGGGCAGTTTTAAAAAGAAAGAAATAGATAAAAGCATAATGCCACATAAAAAATCCCCTAAAATAGAAATTTAAGTCAATTAAGATGGGTAGCAGCTCCCAATGCAAAAGCAGAATGTATCCATAGAGAGGATCAATAGAGATCTAGCAACCCAACATTTATTTGCTTGTTTCTTTATATTCTGCCGTTATTATTTTTTATAAATAACTCAAGAGCAGGTCTAAAATTCACAGTCTCCTGGTGATTGGCCCAAAGTCACCCAGCCAGCTTTCATACCTAAGGTGGGACTAGAATGTCTGGTTTCTAGCCTGCTGCCTTAAACTACTAGATCAAACATACTCTCACAAGACATTGTTGTGTGTTTTGATTCCACGCCATGTGTTAATCAGCCTCCCAGGCTTAATGCTCTTATTACTTGCCAACAATGTCCCAGAGAGGTCAAAAAAGTTGAGCGTGAACAATTTTTCAAAGTCACACCCTCTCCCCCGCCCTTTTATTGGTCAGCGGTCCAGGAGACCTGTATGGGGTGTCCTGGACACAACACTTCAGGTTGTTTTTCAGGTTGCTATCCTGCAGACACTCCTGTTGTTGTACTGCTTCCATCATGGGCAGAGTAAATACTTGCCATCCTGTTGTCCATCTGCCTTTCCTTCTTTGTTTCTCTCTTCCCATTCCCTTGGTAGGCTGAAAAGATCTCCTTGGTAAAGATATTTTTCATTGGTTAAGAAATGGAGGTGTCAGCAGAACCAAAAACTCATATCAACATAATGAAAATGACCATCATCTCACAAGATTCTCCCTTTTTCTACACATGTGCGACATCAGAGCACAGTTACTGAAGCCCCAGATTTTTTGTGATTTGTTTTCTTAATTGGTCAACTCCACCACCAATATACTTTGGCTAACAGTCATTCGACCAAAGGATCTATCCAGTTACCCTGTTTCCCCAAAAATAAGACCTCTCCAGATAATAAGCAATCAGGTTTTTTAGCACATGCGCTAAAATAAGCCCTCCCGTTGAAAATAAGCCCTCCCGTTGAAAATAAGCCCTCCCCTAAAATATTTAAATGCATGCACAGCTGGTCCCCGCCATTTCCTGGGGGGAAAGAGGGTACATGCATCACGAGCCCCACATGCATCTGCCATCTACCTGGAATGGCTTCGTGGAGGTTGCTCCCGCAAACCCTAACTACTGTGCCCCTTCTCTCTGTGGTGTCCGCAAAAAGAACGGCAGTCTCAGAAACACTAGGGCTGGCAGGAGTGCGCCAGAAACAGAGAACTTCCGGCGCTCTCTGGATCAGCTGATTCACGGGCCATGGACAGAGATTAAGGGGCCTTCTGCATCTCAAAAATAATAAGACCTCCCTGTTTTCTGAGATATCCACCAAAAGTGTTTGGCAAATCATATCATTCTTGTTCCTACAACCTGAATCATCTCAAAAGGAGGCTTCCCGAGATGATATATACCCTGTTTCCCTGAAAATAAGGCCTCTGCGGATAAAAAGCCCTATCGGGCTTTTGAGTGCATGTGCTAAAATAAACCCTCCCCTGAAAATAAGCAATCCCTGAAAATATTGCAACACAGCAGCAGCCATGAGGTGATCACGTTCACTGCCTCCTGCATCTCAAAAATAATAAGACCTCCCTGAAAATAAGGCCAAGCGCTTATTTCGGGGGTCAAAAGAAAATAAGATCCTGTCTTATTTTCGGGAAAACACGGTAATAAAAGAAACATAGCAATAGTAGCAATAGCAGTTAGACTTATATACCGCTTCATAGAGCTTTCAGCCCTCTCTAAGCGGTTTACAGAGTCAGCATATCGCCCCCACAGTCTGGGTCCACATTTCACCCACCTCGGAAGGATGGAAGGCTGAGTCAACCTTGATCCAGTGAGATTAGAATCGCTGAACTGCAGATAACAGTCAGCTGAAGTGGCCTGCAGTACTGCACCCTAACCACTGCGCCACCTCGGCTCTTACATACATGCTTCTATCATTGCCCCACTGCAATTCCCATTTATATTTCATTTGGCACATTTTTCTACTTTCAGATTTTTGACAAACCCACTAAAAATCACATTGGAATAAATTAGAATAGGTTGGTGAAGAGTTCAAAGAAATCTGTTTCCTATTCAAAACTCTTGCAATTACTGAAGTTCCTCCTGAATTAGGAACAGTCACTTAGTGACTGTTAGAAGTTATGAAGGACTTGCCGAAAGAGACTTACAACTCAGTTTTGAAATTCTAGAATTACCACCCTCTGTTGTCACGGGACCGTAATCTAGGTGCTCAGTGACAGGCCTGCATCTAGTGACATTTGTAGCACCTCATAATCACAGGAAGATAGTTTATGATAGTTTTGCTGTTCTTGCATCCCAGAGGCATTTTACGAAACCGTACGATGCCTTTCCATCATTCCTGTTCCAATAACATTGTGGCTGAATCATAATTCAATTCAGATCAATTCAATCACATCTGGGTTAACTCCCTAATTGTGATTTTTTTTAAAGAATAACAGAGTTGGAAGGGACCTTGGTGATCTTGTAACCTAACCCACCTGCTCCAGCAGGAGAACTTATACCATTCTGGGCAAATGATTGTCCAATTTCTTCTTAAAAACCTTCAGTGTTGAAGCACCCACAACGTCTGGAGAAAAACTGTTTCACTGATAAATTGTTCTCGCTGCCAGGAAATTTCTCCTTAGTCCCAAATTGCTTCTCTCCTTGATTAGCTTCCATCCATTGTTTCTTGTCCTATGTATAAGTGCTTTGGACAATAGATTGCCCCTCACTTCTTTGTGGCAGCTCCTAAAATATTGAAGCACTGTTATCTTGTCACCCCTAGTCCTTCTTTTCAGTAGACTAGACATATTCAATTCCTACAACTGTTCTTCGTATATTTTAGCATCCAGTGTACTAATCATTTTTTTTCGCTCTTTTTCTGCGCTCTTTCCAGAGTCTCAACATCTTTTTAATATCGTGGTGACTAGAACTGGATGCAATATTCTAAGTGTGGTCTTACTAAGGCTTTGAAAAAAAACAGTACTAGAACTTCATGTAATCATGATTCTGTTCCTCTGTTAATGCAGCCTAGGATTGCATTGACTTTTTTGGCTGCCGCCACACATTGCTGGCTTATATTTCACTGATTGCCCACTAGGACTCCAACAATTGTCCTCAAGAAATCCAAAACACAAGATGCATGGTATAAAATTCAACACACATAACACACTCTTCACCTTTAGCATTTGCTAATGGGGAAACCCACAAATATGAAGTGGTAATTATAGGGCACAATTCCTTCTTTGTGATCCTAAAAGATTTACAAGAGTAGCCCTTATTGCTTAATTCTCTGTATGCTGCATTCCCAAGGGATCTCCATGTGAATCATAGCTACAAACCCGTTCTCTATTACAAATCTCGTACAGCAATAAATTAGACCCAATGAAATAAAAGGCTTACCGCTAAAACTCATTTGGCTGTTTACTGCCCTTCAAATGCCACTAATTCGAAATTTAATTGCCATCCTTTTGGTAAATTGGCCCAGCGGTTCACGTTTTAAAAACCAAATAAAAGTAAGGATAAGCTTGGGAGCAGCCTATTTATGTTTGTGCCAATATACATTTAGGAAAAAGCACGCTTAGCTGTTAACTTCAGGATACAAGTTCCCATAAAGGCAACTATTTTCTCTTCTTAGTTCATCCAATTTATACCATTTCAAGGGGCGAAGGAGGTGACAGCCCAGCCCCTGGAATTTAAAATGCCCTTGAAGAAAATCTAATCTTAAATCTGTTGTGAGGAGAAAAAAAGAGCAACTTTATTCCATTTTAGAGAAGAGGATTCGCATTTTATTTTGAGTTTCTCTTTCCTTTGCTCTCCTTGCAAACATTGTTTGATAGGGCTGACATTCCTCCACCTGCTGAGCGGATGGGAAAACACACATCAGCACACCCTAATTGCATGTTTGATTCATGACCAAGCGCCTCGGAGAACCACCTTGTTAGATGTGTGGCCTTTTGTGTAGCCGTGCCAATTTTCTTTCTCTTCTGCCAGGATGTTATTTGCAGAGCCATTCTCTGTAGTGGCATTTTGTTCCCACCCAAAAGTACCCGAGTGTACTCAAAAAAGGAAAGAAATAAAAGGTTGTTCGTTGTAATGACAGCCTTCCTTGTGCTTAAATGCTTCTCTCCTCCTTTCTTCTCTTTTCTTCTGTTTGCAGAATTGCCACTGCAAATTTTAAAGCCAGCCGTTTTCATGGAAAACACGCACTACCCTTTGCTCCTCATTGTGTGAGTAACGATAACAATGGTATAATTTCCCAGTTAGAGCCAGCAATGCCAGCCAAGTTGACAAGAGGGATATTTCAGGAGGGTAAGGATATGGCTTTCTTAGGAAAACCAGGGTGGAAACTTTAGCAAATAGGGAGGTGACTCTAGAAAGAATTCTTATTTTAATTATTTCCTGCCTTTATTATTATTTTTTCAAATAAATGCTTTAAGGAGATGAACATGATTTATAGTCCCACCTCTTCCTGGTGTTCCCCACAACAACAATCCTGCAAGTTGGGTGGGCTGACAGAGAGAGAGAGAGGAACTAGCCCAAAGTAACCCAGCTGGCTACCATGGCTAAGGCAGGACTAGAACTCATGGTCTCCTGGTGATTCACAGTCAGCCAGCTGTTTTCATGCATAAGGAGGGACTAGAACTCACAATCTCTTGGTTTCTAGCCCCAGAACCTTCCCCTGTAAACCAAACCGAGCTTGCTGCTGGTAAATGAAGTTTTAAGCCAAAGGGGGGGGGGGGGGAGGATGCCCCACAACAAAATTCAATATGCTTGTTTTGGGTTGAGAGCAGGGGTGGGCTACTATGGGTTCGCCTGGGTTCGAGAAAACCCGTAACTAATGTTACAGCCGGTTCGGAGAACCTCCAAATCCCACCCCTGGCTGGCCCCGCCCGCCCCCCCCCCCCTTTCCCACCTCTCCCCTCCCAGGAGTCTCCATACAGCCCGTTTTGGACGCAAGGTAAGTGCAGGGTCCACGCAGAGACTCAGGGAGGGGAAAAACGGGCCTCCCGGAAGGTCTCTAGAGGCCGGGGGAGGCAGTTTTCTCTCTCCCAGAGGCTCAAGAAAAGCCTCCAGAGCCTGCGGAAGGTGAAACACCCCCACCCACCCACCCCCGCCGTGGTGCAGGAGGCCAACTAGGCCATGCCCACCATGGCCACACCCGCTCAGCAACTGGGCAGAGAACCTGTTGCTGAAATTTTTAAAGCCCACCCTGGTTGAGCGTGTTATGATCCTAATGTTGTTTCTTTACTTAGCATGGTATGTTCAGATACATGCATGTTTGGACACAGTTAACATATATGAAGTTTGGCGATGCTACCCAGGAAACCTGGAGGCCAAAGGGAGGCTTTCCTGGGGGTCTAATGCTGGAAGATTTGTCCCTTGGGCTAGATCGGTGTGTCTTCTCCCTTCTCTAAAGATCCATAGGATTTTTACGTGAGCTCTCTCTCTCTGTCTCTCTCTTTGCTTATAGCTGAACCAAATATGATGTGCATAGATTCTAAACTGTCAGGCTTTCTGGGAAGAATTGGTAGATTTTTAAAAAATCTGGAGGGTGGCGGCAATTACACAACCGAAGGCCCACAGTAGTCCCCAACTTATGACCAGTCACTTAGCAATTGTTTGAAGTTTCGACAGACCTACTGGAACTCGCTTACAGCTATATGCAGTTTCCCACAGTCATATGACTATTTTACAATGGTTTTGCCGAAAACTGGCATTGATTTCCTTTTGGGGGGGGGGGCAAAATCATGCCCATTGTACACTATTGGTTTGCTTAACAATCGCAACCTTTGCTTAACAACCGCCACAAAAACAGTCGTAAAATTAGATTGGTCACTTTATGATTGTTATATCTTATATAAGGACTGAGGTTATTGTGCAAGTATTTGACAATGCAAAGGGCTCGATGCAATTTTGGAATACAAACCAGATACCAATGGTATCTACCATAACGATGGTTTAATTGCAAGTCCCACATTGAAAGAAGAATTGCAAATTAATCTAAAGTCCTGAAGAGAGAAGCTGGGGATTTTTTATTTATGGAAATAAGGTTAAGAATTTCTTGAGGGGGAAAAAAAGCTTATATTTATCTAAAATACATTCCAAACAAGAAGAAGCAAGATTTTCTTCTACGAGGGAAAGCCAAAGGGAGTACCTTAAGCTTAATATGTTAACTGAGGTTAGGATGAATTTTTATTGGTCTGACATCTGTCATTAGAACCAAAAAAATGTAATATATAGTTCTATGCTTATAAAGTAGGTTTCAAAATGCATTGTTTCTTTTTTCTTTTCTTTTTTCTCTAGTGTATAATGTTGGTATAGTTCTTAAAGTATAAAAGATTAGTGTAAATTAATTTGGTGTATATAGCAATAGCACTTAGACTTAAACACCGCTTCACGGTGCTTTAGAGCAGTGGTGGGTTTCCAAATGTTTTACTACTGCTTCGCTCATGCGTGCAATGCTGCGCATGCGCAGAAGCATCCGGGTGGGTGGGCGGAGCGTCCTGCCACCACTACTACCGGTTCAACCGATCCAGGCCGAACCGGGAGCAACCCACCTCTGCTTTACAACCGTCTCTAAGCGGTTTGCAGAGTCAACCTATTGCCCCCAACAATCTGGGTCCTCATTTTACTCACCTCGGAAGGATGGAAGGCTGAATCAGCCTTGAGCCTGGTGAGATTTGAACTGCCAAATTACAAGCATCCAGCAGTAAGCAGAATTAGTTGCAGTACCACAGTGCCACCATTCACTATTGGTTTGCAACGCTCTCGCGTGCATGCGTTGTTCAATGTAAATTGTTCTTTGCGCATGCACAGAAAAATTTACAGTGAAATGTGCATACGCAGTCACTAAAAACCAAAATGACAGTGAATGGGCAGTGACGAGGGAACCGGTTTGGGGGCATGGCTGGCCTGGGTTGCTGCCAGTTCTGTGACCCAGGCCTGAATTCCGCTACTGGTTCAGCCGAACCGGGAACAACCCACCTCTGCTCTGGAGGGGGGGAGGAGTTCCACTCTCCTGGCCTTCCAGAAAGAAGTCAAAACATGGGCTCTGCGTGGTCGTGTGGGGAGCTCAAAGGAGCATGCAGTCGTGGGGGCTTGTTGGTGCCCTTTCAGTTGAGAGTGGTGGTCTCTGGATGGGGCTACAATAGAATATCAGAATATAAAAACAATATTTAAAAACTAATAGAATTAAAATTTCAGAGCTATTTTTTTTTTTAGAGGGAGGCAAGAATAATTAAGTCCTATTAAAAATCAATTGTAAAGGTGAAGGGAGGGCCTCTCAGGGCACCACCCCACCCCATGTCTTCATGCTCCTTTGGGGCTCCCCATACAAGCAGGCAGAGCCTGTTTTTTTGGCTTCTTTCCTGAAGGCCAGGAGACTGGCAGCCCTGCCTCACCTCTGGATGGAGATGGGCGGTTCTGAAATGCAGTAAATAAATATATTTTTTTTAAATGTCCAAATGTGTGCCAGTCTAAAGGGAGGACAAAAACCTCTCTCACAAACCCTCCCACTTACTTCACATCAAAATTATCTCTTGGGAAAATGTGCTTCGTTATGCAAATACCCAGGGAAGATTGGTGCTCATCAAGCTAACAACACTTGATTAGAACTGCTTCAGAATGAGAAAGCACAGCTTGGGTGGGCCCTAAATAAATGTAAATCACTCAATCTCAAAGAGGGAGGGAGGGAAGGAGGGAGGGAGAGAGAGAGAGAGAGTGAGAGAGTGAGAGAGAGAGAGAGATATGCACATATAGTCATGTAGGGCAATGGTGGGATTAAAATGTTTTACTACTGGTTCTGTGTGCTTGGTTTGGTGGGCATGGCATGGCATGGTGGGCGTGGCAAGGGAAGGGAAGGATACTATAAACTCTCCATTCTCCCCCCTCCAGGGGAAGTTTACTGCAAAATCCCCATTCCCTCCCGATCAGCTAGGACTCAGGGGGCAGAGAATAGACGGGGATGGGGCCAGTCAGAGGTCGTATTTACCAGTTCTCTGAACTACTCAAAATTTCTGCTACCAGTTCTCCAGAACCGGTCAGAACCTGCTGAATACCACCTCTGATGTAGGGTCTCTACTTGTGACATTATTATTGCCTCGCTAAATATCTTCTTCAGCATTCACCGTTGATGTAATAGTCTGCGTTTCTCTTAACTAGCTTGCAGCTGCCTTCAGGATATCAAATTTGACAGTCTAAATTGACAAGGAAGAAATGTAGCTTATATATCCTAAATAAGTTGCATCATAAAATAGCTGCCTGTCCTGTAGCCCTGGGAAAATATAGTTTTTTTCTATTTTTCTGTTTGGTTGCTGTGCCAAATCAGACAATTATTGAGGTACAAAGGGCAGACTCAATAATTCCTTGGTAGAACTCTGGTCAGTAGATCCTTGGGCAAAAGCCACCTAGATGACTTTCACGGCTAAGGCAGGACTAGAATTCAAAGTCTCCTGGTGATTGGCCCAAGATTACCCAGCTGCTAAGCGTGGGACTGGAACTCACAGTCTCCCAGTTTCTAGCCTGGTGTCTTAACCACTAGAACAGGGGCGTCAAATTCAATTTCACTGAGGGCTGCATCAGGGTTGTGTTTGACCTCAGGGGAAGGGCGATGTGCAGGCAGGGTGGGCATGGCCAACTTGATGTCATTCATCAAGGCTCCATTTTCTACTCTGATGGCCTCCTACAGCCCTCTGCTGGAGAAAACGGAGCTCAAGGAGGCTGTGTGTGGCCCACCCGCGCTCTGTTTTCAGCCACGATGGCTTCCTGCAGCCGTTTGTCAGAGAAAATGGAGTTTGTGGCCCTTACACTAGCGTATTCTCTTAACCACCACCACCACCCCTTTTTTTACCCCCTGGTGTTCTTCCTGGCCCTCCTGTCCATTCTCCCACCCTCCCAGCAGAATCACTAAGTTGTTCTTCTGTTTCAGGGACGGGACTCCTGGCACCCAAAGCGTCACAGAAAAGTTTGAAGTGAACTGGGAAAGTGTCATGGTCAGCTCCCACAGTGCCATCGTGATGAAGTTTGACGGGCGTGGAAGTGGATTTCAAGGGACTAAACTCCTGCATGACATCAAAAGAAAATTGGGCACCGCTCAGGAAAAGGATCAGACAGAGGCTGTTCGGTGAATGACCTTAACTCACTGAAATTGAATCCAATCACTAGCTGTATGCTCAGCATTCTTGCAATGATTTATTTCAAAATACTAAACCATTTGTAAATTTTTGGAGAAAGGCAAATCTGAGCACTCAATCAAAAGGCAGCCAAGGAGTTCAAATGTACAAGTGTAATTTCTCCCTTTTTGCAATTTGTACTTCTACGCGTCAAGGCAAAGCTGGGCCTTGCTATAGTTAACAGGAGTTAGCTTGAACATAATCGTATCTTCTTTGTTTTTGTTTTTTCCAGGGCAATGCTGGAAAAGGCATTTATTGATAAGACTCGAGTTGCTGTGTTTGGGAAGGTGAGTGTCCTTGAAACACTGCTATTCACCCAGTGTTGATATTCAGCCGGTTCGCAGCGGTTCAGGCAAACCGATAGTGGTTACCTGCAGATGGCCTGCAACACACAACACCCCGCTCCCACTCTATGCCGTCCTATTTAGCCGCGTTTTCTAAGCCGCGTGCATGCATGTAAGCTGCAAGAGAGAGAGAGTAAAGCGCGCATGCAGAAGGCATGCTCACAGTTTTTGTGTGTGGCAATCCTCTGGTAAAATTATGTGGAACCCCCCCCCCCCTCTGTATTCACTGCTATTCCTCCAGGATTTTGATCTGCAGTTTGCTGGACAAACTATGTTTAAGTTTTATTCTGAGAACCCTTGTGATGTTGTTGGCTAGAAGGTTGGAGGCAGGGAGGCTATGAAGGTGTAGGAACTATGAATTCTAATCCCACTTTAGACACAAATGCAATTGGAAAGGCAAGCCACTCCTGAAAAATGTTGTGGGCCTCAAATATTGCCCACAAATATCCACATACACACACAGGGACAAAGACTTACCAAAAAAAGGGGGGGGGAGAGAGGACATAGATGGCTATAAGGTCTTCAATAGGGATACTAAGGGGCTGCAGGCAGGATACAGACTTTGCCCCACTGCATTGAGGGAAATCCCTTGTAGCACTAATCCTGCAAATTATGGGGCTCAGGCCTCAGGGATGAGCAAACTGCCCAGTTCTGGTGTCCCTTGGATAGCAGCCCTTCCCAAAATGAAAAAGAAATCGACGAGAACATGGATGTAAAGAAGGTCCTTGAGTTACAACCGACCATTAGCAACCTTCTTGGAAAAAGAGAGTTACAACCAGTTCTGATGGTCAGGTCAACTCCCCCACTCCCATGGTCACATCATCCCAGTTTGGGTGCTCAGTATCTTGGCCACATTTGTCATCCTTCACAGTGTCCCATAGTCCCATGACCGGGTTTTGCTGAAAACCAGAAGTTAATTCCAATTCTTATAAAAAACCGAGCCATAGTGAATAGTCAGTTCACTTTATGGCTGCAGCATTCATTTTACGACTGTCTCGTTCATTTAATCTGCTGCAAAAATAAAAGATCATAAAATCAGGTCACTCGCATGACCGACTCAAATTCCAACTGTCCCAACATACGATGATAATGGGCAGGGGTCATTGCAGTCATATGTCAATCACTATCCGTACTGCCTTCTTGAGATTTTGGTACTCCCAAGGTTCTGGGACATGATTTACTAAAGACATTGTCACTTCTTAAGTATTTGAAAAGGTGCAAACCAGAACTCCATGGAAATTGGGGGTTGCTTGATTATTATTTTCCCTTTGCACGTCCCGCTCTTTCATCTCTTTTTCCTCTTCTCTTTGTCTCTCAGGATTATGGTGGCTACTTGAGTTCCTACATCCACTTTTCTGGGGAAGAAAATAAAGAGCCAACCTTCTCGTGTGGGGCGGCCGTTTCCCCATTGTCTGACTTCAGATTGTATGGTAAACAGTGACCTCATTGAGCTGATAGGAATAAAAGCAGGTTTTTCATTGCATGGCGTTGAATCTTAGCATTCTGCTCTCTAAAGCAGGTTTGAGCTCCTTAAGGTTGCAAACGTTAATATTAAAACAGGCAGGCCAGTGAAACGTCTAGGTGGAGGCTTTTCTCTGGCTGAGAAAATAATGTGAGGCAGAGGCTGAATGAGGAAATTGAGTGGAACTTTAGAAGACAGCCATAAGTATTCATCTGCCTGCCTTAGAAATCTGGCTAGCTTTGAACAGCTTGCAATACTGAGTACATCCGAAGCAAACCTATTACATTTCAGAAAGATCATGCCCTGTGCTAGGAAGACAACTAGGGCTCAAATCTCCATGGTTTTTTCCCCATGATCAGTCTGCTTTGATACTCAATGTATCATGTTTTCCAGCTCTGCTGATGAGAAGCCACGCATTTTTGTTTGGCTTGGTGAGAATGTCTTGCTTTATAGGAAGGAAGGAAGGAAGGAAGGAAGGAAGGAAGGAAGGAAGGAAGGAAGGAAGGAAGGAAGGACAGGGCAATGGAAAGGAAGGAAGGACAGGACAACAGAAGGAAGGATTGGGAAGATGAAGGAAGGAAGGACAGGGCAAAGGAAGGAAGAAAATTAGGAAGGACAGGGCAAAGGAAGGAAGGACAGGGCAATAAGGAAGGAAGGAAGGAAGGAAGGACAAGGCAAAGGAAGGAAGGAAGGAAGGAAGGAAGGACAGGGCAAAGGAAGGACAGGGCAATGGAAAGGAAGGAAGGAAGGAAGGAAGGAAGGAAGGAAGGAAGGAAGGAAGGAAGGAAGGACAAGGCAAAGGAAGGAAGGATTGGGAACAGGAAGGAAGGACAGGGCGAAGGAAGGACAGGGCAATGGAAAGGAAGGAAGGAAGGAAGGAAGGAAGGAAGAACAGGGCAAATGAAGGAAGGATTGGGAAGAGGAAGGAAGGACAGGGCAAAGGAAGGAAGGATTGGGAACAGGAAGGAAGGACAGGGCGAAGGAAGGAAGGACAGGGCAATAGGAAGGAAGGAAGGAAGGAAGGAAGGAAGGAAGGAAGGAAGGACAGGGCAAAGGAAGGAAGGACTGGGAAGAGGAAGGAAGGAAGTTAGGAAGGATAGGGCAAAGGAAGGAAGGACAAGGTAAAGGAGGGAAGGAAGAACTGGGTGAAGGAAGGAAGGAAAGAGAAGGGCAGAGGGAGGGAGGAAAAAAGTTGATGGAAGGAAGGAAGGAAGGGTCTAATATTAAATCAGTGCAACAACTATCCTAATTGTTATTTAACTTTATTATTTTGTTCAAAACCTTCTCTCGGTCAGTCACCTTCTGGATGTGTTGTACTTCAATATCCAGAATTCTTTATTCACTTCCAAAACAATTCTGGGAGTCCAAGTCTCTTGCTCCATCCACCAGGAATGGCTGCAAGATATCGAGATAATGTCTCAAATAAAAATAACTAAAGAAAAAAATGGAAAACCTTGAAAAAAATTGAGGCCAAAAATGCCAAGACCATCTCTCTGGGATGAGACTTCACTAGTCATGTGCCATATTCCAGAAAACTGTCCCACTGATGAAAATTGCTTAAATATCCTGCCTATTGAGTATTTTTAGCATTATCCTTTGTCCAGATATGTATAATTTTCAACCTGTTAGGCAAAGATTCGACCGCAGAAAATGCCATCCAAGTTTAGTTATTAGTAGTTTGAATTTAAATTTCATATCTTTTCTTTTCTTCCCTCAGCTTCAGCTTTTTCAGAAAGATACTTGGGATTACAAGGGTTCGACAATAATAAGATATATGAGGTAAATCAGGTTAACTGTGATTTATTTACTTAGTTATTTAATAAATATTAATTTATTAAGCACAATGCTATTTACAAGCAGACAATGGGGATGGCAGTATTCAGAATGCATTATTTATTTATTTATTTTATAAGCTTTTCTTCAGATCAAAAATAGGATCTTGTATTTCGTATTTTCAATTATTTGAGGAGTTAAAAATATACATCAAGAATCAAATGGCAAAACCTATAGTAAATTAGTTTGTTTCAGTTATTAACCAGCTCTCTTTAAACTGCCTTCCAGTTTGTTTAAGATATAATATCCTAAAGTGGCAAAATCACAACGTATTGAAATCATGACAACAGCAACAACAACAAATAATAATAATAATAATAATATCAAAGCATAGTATTAAGTAAGAGGATTCTAAATGTTATTTCTTTTTTTAAAAACAACTTTATTTTTCTTGATATAATTTATTAATTAATTTAAAGACAAGAATAAATATTTTCATAAAATAGATGATATCAAAAGGGGGAATAGAATAGAAAGAGAATAGAATAGAACACAAGAGAATAGAATAGACTAGAACAGATTAGAACACAGCGTAGTACAGTACAATACGATGTTTTGTTGGCAAAGTGTGGTTTGGACACACAAGGAATTAGTTCCCAGTGCAGAAGCTCTCAATGCACATGCAAGCAATAGAGTAATAATAATCACAATAATGATACCAATAAAAGGAGGTAGCAAAAAAGATAAGAATAATAATAACAATAATAAAGCTATACTATATGGGTAAATTATCTTTAGAGAGAAGACAGTGGTGTGGGGAAAGTGTTTAACAGAGGGATGGCATGGGGGGCAGGGGAGAACTATCTCGGTGTCTTAATTGTTTTGTCATGCAATTCCCTATAACAACATCCAGAGAAGAGAAGTTGAAACGATTTTATGTCCAGGATGTGAGGGGTCTTTTAGATATTTCCACAGCCCTCTTTTTGACTGGTGCATTGTACGGATCCACAATGGAAGGCAGGCTGGTTGCAATTATTATATTTCTGCAGTTCTAATTATCTGTTGAAGTCTGTGTGTGTCTTGTTTGGTTGCTGTGCCAAACCAGACAGTTATAGAGGCACAAATAGCAGACTCAATAATTCCTTCTGTAGAACTCTTATCAGCAGCTAATATTTTTTTGTGGAAATAACAATTTAATAGTTTCATAAAATATATACTGCTTTCTGTAAGTATCACAAGAGTGGTATACAGAAAAAAAGGGGAAGTACGTAAAACAAAATGCAAAATACTCTGTTATAAGTGCTTTGTTGATTGTGGTGATTGTTCTAAAGTGTCTATAATATTGAAAATTATTTTTTTCCACTCTTCTCAGATTACTAAACTCTCTCATCGAGTCACATCAATGAAAGACCAAAACTTTTTGATCATCCATGCGACAGCTGATGGTAAGATTATATGAACCAAGCCTACAGACACTCCCCACTCAAATAAAGCGAAATAAAAGCTTTATTTTACTCACAATAAATGTTTTGTTTTGCGGGTTTTTTGGGGGTAATTCAATTATTTACTTTCTGGAACTTAATTACTTTAATCTATTTTACAGAGAAAATTCACTTCCAGCACACTGCAGAGTTCATTACTCATCTAATTAGGATAAAAGCTAATTACAGTTTGCAGGTACCTTCCTGTTACATAATCATTGTTTAAAAAATAAATGTAGTTTCTCCTTCTCTCTCCTCCTCCCTCTCTGTGTTTATGTATAAATGTATAGATGTATATACCAGTATGTATGTTGTTCACAGGATTTTAAAGCCAGTTTGGTCTAGTGCAGTGATGGCTAATCTTTTTGTCATCACATGCTGAAAGTGTGCGCCCAGCACGACGTGCACGTGCCCACACTCATAATGCAATCCCACATACCCTGCACCCCTGTGCATGCATGCATGCTCCCATGCACTCCAGCCCCCCACACATGCACACACAACCCCATGCATGTGCATACGACCCCCCATGCATGCACACACAACCACCATGCATGCACACATGACCCCACACACATGCACACACAACCCCATGCATGTGCATACGACCCCCCATGCATGCACACACAACCACCATGCATGCACACATGACCCCACACACATGCACACACAACCCTCCCACGCATACACACACACAACCCCTCACACATGCACACACGACCCCCCCCATGCATGTGCACACGACCCCCCATGCATGCACACAAAACTCCCTATGCATGTACACACTACCCTCCCACGCATGCGCACATGACCCTATGCATGCACACACGACCCCCACGCATGCACACACAACCCCCCACACATGAACACACAACCCCCACACATGTGCACACAACCCCCCACTCATGAACACACAACCCCCACACTTGCACACACAACCCCCCACACATGAACACACAACCCCCACACATGTGCACACAACCCCCCACTCATGAACACACAACCCCCACACTTGCACACACAACCCCCCACACATGAACACAC